AAGGTCCCGGGCCGGAGGGTCTAAGTCTCCCGGAAACCGAGTGGAGACCTGAGGACCGGAGCGCCCACAAGCTTGTAAATAGCGTGTGCGTGCTCCCCTAACCTGATATGGTCCTCTGCTCCCGCCATATCTGCCTCTCCCACTGACCGTACTAATTCCTCCCTCCTCCTTCAATCCCCCACCCTCTCCCCCCACCCTTCTTATGGACCTTCTTGAGAAGGTGGTGGTTCCATTGGGGACATGGTTCCTGGGTATGGGACCAGCTTAATCCGGTTATGGACCTTCTTGAGAAGGTGCTGTTTCCGTTGGGGGCATGGCTATTAAGGATGGGACCAGCTGAATCCGGTTATGGACCTTCTTGAGAAGCTGGTGGCCCTGCTTCCTCCCACAGAGCCTTGCAGGAAGCCCAGGAGATCTTCGGCGTGGACTTTGACTACGATGAGTTTGAGAAATACAACGAATACGATGAGGAGATGGAGGACGAGTACGACTACGAGCCGGAAGATACGGAGGGCGAGATCCGCGTCCGGCCCAAGAAGACGGCCAAGAAGCGGGTCAGTCGCCGTAGCATCTTCGAGATCTACGAGCCCAGCGAGCTGGAGAGCAGCCACCTGACCGACCAGGACAACGAGATCCGGGTGACCGACATGCCCGAGCGCTTCCAGGTGAGGGTGCGGCGCTCCTCCTCGTGGCCCACCCCCACCTCAGCCCCTCCCCCTTGTCCCAGGAAGTGGGGCCTGTCCCGGGGGCAGTGCCCAGCGAAGCCACCCCTAGGGGGAGAGTTGCTTGGGGGGGTGAAGGCCCCTCCTTCAACGGGGCAGGGAGCCCTTGACTTAAGCACAGTTCATTTACTGACCGAAGCTACAACGGAAGTGTAAGCTGTGACTTACGACCGTCCTTCACACCACCCTTGCAGCATCCGCCGGGTCATGTGATCCAAATTCAGACCCTCGGCAACGGGCTTCTATTTAGGACGGTTGCCGTTTCCTGGGGTCACGCGATCCCGGGGTCAGGGGATCCCCTTTGGCGATCCTCTGACAAGATTCGCCTAGCAGCCGTGTGACTAACTTCACAGCTGCAGGGATTCGCCAGGAAGGTCGTAAAACGGGGCAAAACTCACTTAAGAAATGTTTCACTTAGCAGCAGAAACCTTGGGCTCCATCATGATCGTTGAGGACCCCCTGTCCGGTGTTTATGCCAACTGACCCACAAGCCCGCCTTAAGCCAACCCCTCTTAGCCCATCTGATGTCCTTATCACTGTTTATTAACACGGCTTAGCTTCCCTCTGCGTCGTCTAGCATCTCAGGGGTCCCCAACCTTTTGGGCACCAAGGCTGCTGGTTCCGTGGGGAGAGGTTTTTCCGCGGACCGGAGGGGGCCTGGTTTTGTGTGCTGCCTGCATCCCGTGGATGGGGCTTTGCTTGCTTGTGCGGACCGGTTGCTGGCATGCCACGGCCCGGTGCCAGTCCACGGATCAGGGGGTTGGGGACCCCTGGTCTTTCCTGCCATGGTTGATAAGTGAAACACTGCAGTTAGTTAAGTTAGTCACACAGTTGTTAAGTGAACCTGGCTTCCCCTGTTGCTATTCAGAATCACGTGGCCCCGGGACCCTGCGACCGTCATAAATATGAGTTGGTTGCCAAGCCTCCAAATTTAGACTTAGTCTTATTGGAGCAGGAAGATTAAGGCAACCTGCAGAAAGGATCCCAAGTCACTTTTTTCACTAAACGAACGGTTGTAACTTGAGAACTACCTGCGATTCCCTACAGAGACCAGGCTTTTAGGGGAGAGGGTCTTTTGACCTTTCCTTCCTTGCTACACCCTGGAGGGCTGGGCCTGGGCAAAATGGGGTTGGGGTCTCCAAGGCCATCCCTTCTCCCCTTGCCTCCCTCCAGCTGCGCTCCATTCCCGTCAAGAGTGCGGAAGACGACGAGCTGGAAGAGGAAGCCGACTGGATCTACCGGAACGCCTTCGCCATGCCCACCATCTCCCTGCAGGTAGGACCCCCGCCCGTCCCCCTGGGAGCCCTTCCGGCCGGCCGGTCAGCAGCCCCTGAGAGTCTGCCTGGCTTGAGGAGTCTCTTGCCCTCTGGAGCCCTGAGCCAAGCAGTGGGGGGGGGGGGCGGGCTGCCATTCCTACACACACACACACACACACACAGTCCCCAGATCTCTTGTGCTGGGCCTTCCAGCTGGTTGGCCGGCCCAAAGGTGCTTTTCCCCAAAGGCTATTTTTTCTTCTCTTGAAAACGTTTCACTTCTCATCCAAGAAGCTTTTTCACTTCTTGGGGGAAGGGAGGGAGGGAGGGAAGAGGGAGAAAGAGAGAGAAAGGGAGGGAGGGAGGGGAAGGAGGTGGGAGTGAGGAAGGAAGGAAAAGGGGAAGGAAGGAAGGGAGGGGAAGGAGATGGGAATGAGGAAGGAAGGAGATGGGAATGAGAGGAAGGAAGGAAGAAGAGGGAGGGAGGGGAAGGAGATGGGAATGAGGAAGGAAGGAAGGAAAAGGGGAAGGAAGGAGGGGAAGGAGATGGGAATGAGGAAGGAAGGAAGGAAAGAGGGAGGAAGAAAGGGATGGGGAAGGAGAGGAAGGAAGGAAAGAAGGAAGAAGAAGAAGAAGGAGGGAGGGGAAGGAAGGATGACGGAGGGAGGGAAGAGGGAGAAGGAAAGAGAAAAAAAGGGAGGAAGGAAGTTTGAAGAAATGAAGAAGCTCCTTGGACGAGAAGGAAAACATTTTCCAGGAAAAACAGAACCACCAAAGTCCAGCTGCCTTTTGGGGTAAAAAGCTCCTTTGGGACAACCGTCAGCTGAAGGATGGAGCGTCTCCGCAGACCTCCTGCCGGCTGAGTTTGCTCGCTTTCAGCTCCAAAGTCCTGCCAAATAGCCTAGATACTTATTCTTTCCTTACGAATCGGCATATTTTAAAAAGTAACCTATAACTTGTATATGATCGTTTGGAATTCCGCTAACCCCCTCCAAAAGGGACTACGTCTATTTTCACCTTACTATTCTGTGCTCCCTCTATATCATTTCATTACTGTGATCCATGTGCTCTAGAGTTTCTCAACCTTAGCCCCTGGAAGAGGGGTGGACTTCAACTCCCAGAATTCCCCAGCCAGCAACGCTGGCTGGGGAATTCTGGGAGTTGAAGTCCACCCCTCTTCCAGGGGCTAAGGTTGAGAAACACTGCCCCTACATCATATGCACAACAAATAAATAAATCTCCAGCCGGAAGCCTCACCTCGCTGGGTGGAAACTGGGGCCACGTCGTAAGAGTGAAGCAGGGCACCGGAACTCGGGGCCTTCGGAGCACGTTCTGGGCTCTTGACCCGCTCCCCGCCCTTTCAGTGGGGCTTGTGCCTCGATTGGGGGGGTGGGACAGCTGACTGATGTGGAGGGCGAGGGCCCGATGGACGCGGAGACCTTGGGCCGGCCGGCCCCGTTCGGAAGACCCCAGAGGAGCTGCGGGGGGCTCTTGGGGTCCAACCACCTTTTTTCTCTCCCCAGGAGAGTTCGGACTACTTGGACCGTGGCCAGAGCAGCAGTAGCTTCAGCCGCAAAGGGCCCAGCACCATCCAGAAGATCAAGGAGGCCCTCAACTTCATGAGGAACCAACACTTTGAGGCAGGTGGAAGGGGCCGCGGCTGCTGCAGAGCCGTCAGACTAAGGATGGTCTCTGGGCACAGCTGCCCCTCCCCGGAGAGACCCCCGGACTGCCCCCCCCCACCCCCAGCCTCCCTTCCATCGTCTTTCCCAGAGGAGGGATGGTCTCCGGGCACAGCTGCCCCTCCTTTCCCCGGAGAGACCCCTGGACTGCCCACCCCACAGCCTCCCCTGCAGTCATAAAACGTCTCTCCCAGATTAAGGATGGTTTCAGGGCACAGCTGCCCCTCCCCTCCCCGCAGAGACCCCCCCCTCTTGACTGTCCCCCCACCCACAGCCTCCCTTCCATCCCCTAATAAAACCGTCTCACCCCGGAGCAGGTCCCCTTCATCGCCTTTTACCGGAAGGAGTACGTGGAACCCGAGCTGCACATCAACGACCTCTGGAGAGTCTGGCACTGGGACGAGAAGGTGAGGACCAGAGTGGGGAGGGGACATCGGGGAGGGGGGCTCTCTCTGGTCCAGGGTTCACCAACCTACAAGGTGGATGGCTCTTTGGGGGGGGAAGAAAAAGTGGTCCCCTGCCGTTCCGAGAACGGATTCGGTCTCTCTCTCGACCTCTAGCCCAGGGGTAGGCAACCTGGGTCTTTTTTATGACTGGTGGACTTCAACTCCCAGAATTCCTCAGCCAGCATGGGGGAACTATGGACCCCTTCATGACTGGTGGACTTCAACTCCCAGAATTCCTGAGCCACCATGGGGGAACTATGGCCCCCTCATGACTGGTGGACTTCAACTCCCAGAATTCCTGAGCCAGCATGGGGGAATTATGGCCCCCTCATGACTGGTGGACTTCAACTCCCAGAATTCCTCAGCCAGCCTGGGGGAACTATGGACCCCTTCATGACTCGTGGACTTCAACTCCCAGAATTCCTGAGCCACCATGGGGGAACTA